GGACCCCCGAGCGTTGAGCGCGCAGAGTGTGCGCACGCTTTGCGCAGGATCGTTGCTCTCATCGTGGCCCCCGCGGTGCCTCCATGGATCGCTAGGGGAACAGAAAGTGACATAAACATAAAAACTCGGAGGTCCGCGCGGACCTCTGAGATTTTATGTTTATGCCATTTTTTGTTCCCCTAGATTAGCCACACGCTGGAGCGGATTGCCTCTGCCTCGCCGCCGACGAAAAGTTGTGGACGTCGGCCAGTGATTTCGCCCAGGTGTACTCGGAATGCGTTGCCGCGCGCACCCGTGAAGTGCCCCAGCAGATTTCTCTAGAGGGCGACTTGCTGGAGGGTGTTCTGTCAATCCTCTGGGCCGATCCCTCGGCACACGCGTCTGGGGACGAGGACGGCGTCGCGAGCCCTCGCCCTTGCTCGGGCGCTGCCTCGGCGGCGCGAGCGTTCAGAGATATGCTTCCGCGAGGGGCGCCGAGTGGCGGGCACGCAGGTGTGTCGGGAGTGGCAGGGCCTGTCCCCCTACAGGGGGGGGATTTTTTTCTACGAAAAATAGAGAATACCCCAAACATAATCAAACAGCAGTCTAAAAATAGTCTGGGGACTATTTTTGGAGTGTCTTTTTACATTCGCGGGGTAATTCCCTACCTAGGCTCTGCCTAGAAGGGTTCTTACTCTCTAGCTTAAAGGGGCCGGGCAGTGGAAAGCGCCCCGGGCGGTTCCCCCAGTCCCCGCCCCGCGGTTCTCCCCAGTCCCCTGGGAGCTTTAGCTTTAGCTTTAGCTTTAGCTTTAGCTTAGCTTAGCTTTAGCTTAGCTGTAGCTTAGCTTTAGCTTAGCGTTTCGCTTAGCGTTTCGCTTAGCTTTTCGCTTAGCGTTTAGCTTAGCTTTAGCTTAGCTGTAGCTTAGCTTTAGCTTAGTTTGAGCTTAGCTGTAGCTTAGCGTTAGCTTAGCTTTAGCTTAGCTTTAGCTTAGCTTTAGCTTAGCTTTAGCTTAGCTTTAGCGTAGCTTCAGCTTAGCTGTGGCTTAGCTTTAGCTTAGCTTTAGCTTAGCTTTAGCTTAACTTTAGCTTAGCTTCAGCTTAGCTTTAGCTTAGCTTCAGCTTAGCTGTGGCTTAGCTTTAGCTTAGCTTTAGCTTAGCTTTAGCTTAGCGTTACTGTTACTACTAATGCTGCTTTCCTACGGGTTCCCACTCCTAGGTAGGGTCGCACTGGGATAATTTTGGGGTACTTTTAATGTTTCGTCGAAGGTCTCCCTGTAGGGGGACACGCCCGACACAAGAGCAGGTAATTCTTGGCCTCCCAGATGGGGTCGTAGGAGATGGGGTCGGAGGATCGCGCCGCATCGCCGATGCGGCTCGATGCGGAGGCCGATTGGCTTCACGTCGACGTCGCCTATGCATCGCCGACGTCGACGATGCATCGCTGGTGCATCGCCGATACATCGCCGACGTATCGGTGATGCGGCGCGATCCTGCCTCCCACCTGCTTGGACCCCTCTGAGAGGCCTCTAGGAATGGCTTCGTTGAGTTCTTGAGTTGCAGACGGAAGGCGACGAAGAGAATCGGGCAGCGTGAAGGAAAGAGGTCAGCGAGGAAAGGGGCTCTGTGAACTGTCGTAGTCTGTGGGCCCCCAGAGCCCAGAGCCCTCCACGGGCCCTCGGGCCGTAAGATAACCACTCGAGATCAGAGATTGGCCTTGGGGCAAGCCGCGGGGACCATGGCCCGCTTCCACCAGGACCCCTCTCCCTCATGCCAAGTATGGTGAGAACGACGTTGCACGAGGAGCTCGAGAGAGCAAAATGGCAGCTGTGGGCCCCTGGCTGGGCTGGTTGTGCCGATTTCCGCGGCCCCGACGCCAGCTAAATTGTTCGCCGTGGCTGGATGATTATTATGGGAGCCATTTTGTCCTCCGCGTTCAGAAGTGATGTCCGCATGATTACTACCCTACCCATCTCGCCAGTCACTATTCGTGTTCATTGTCACTATCAGTTTCTTTTCTCGCGGGATGCTATTGATATCCCAATGTGCTACTGCGGAGAACCATGGGAAACAGTTATAGACCCCCCCCCGTTTCGGTGAAACTATATTTCTTCTCGCCCGCGGAAGTTATATCCCGACCCTGGACCCTACGAGATCCCACCAAACTCCGAATAATATTCCAACAAGACCCAATCGGATTCCAGCGAGAACCTCAGAGGGTTCAAACATATATCCAGTGATATCCCAATCGGATTCCAATCGGTGTTTCATAGGTTTCAGAGAGGATCCCAGCAGGATTGGATCCCAGTAGGACTCCACCATGGGACTCCCCCATAGGAGTCCACCATGGGAGTTCACCATCGGGTTCCCCCCGCGTTGTGCAATTGATTAATTTGTCGTGGTGCTAGCGCTGTGCTTCGGATAACGCCGGCGAGGTCGATAATTGTTTCCCAGGGTTAACCGCCTTTGCGCGTTTTATGTGCTGATTTCAGATCAGATTACATTATTGCGCGTTTGATCGCTTGATGGCGCGCGTGCTTGCTGACTTGTTTCGTTACTCAAAGACGTGCGCGCTTGCGAGCCGCTCGGTTCCGTCAATGGTTATTTGCGCTTGTTTGTTGAAGTTCGTGCGTGGATGTGCCATTCGTTGTTGATGTGCATGATTATTTGTTCACACGTGTGCGCCTGCATGCCCGTATGCTTGCTTCGAATACTCACATGTCTGCTTGCACGCTTCGCTGTTTGGAGCCTGTTTCTAAATTCCAGGGCGATGACGGCCGTCACCGCAGGGGGGAAAGGGGGCCGGTGACGTCGCGTTTCGCGCCGGCGGCGTTTGTAAATGCTTAGGAACGACCGAGGACGGGTGGCAGCAGCACGTAGGTGTCGATCTGCACCACAGGGCTTGGGAACACCACAGTGCTTGCGTGCACCACAGCGCCTATAGACACCACAGCGCCTATACAAACCACAGCTGCCGCGTGCAACACAGCGCCAGTGTGTGCACCACAGTGATTGCGTGCACCACAGCGCTCGTGTACATCACAGCGCCTGTGTACACCACATCAGCCGTGCGCAACACAGCACCAGTGTACAACACAGTGCCTGCGTGCACCACAGAAGTCGTCGGCAACCAAACACCATTGTTGTTTATAGAATGCTTGAAGAAATCCTCGTGACAAATGGAGCTCTTGTGAATTTCACAGAACAAATTGAGTTGTTGCATGTAGACTTTGGAAAGGAATCCTTATTGAAAACGGCACGACTCTGGAATCTACGAGTCCTCCCGAGTCCTCCAGCATCATCCACACGCCTCCCATCTGCGCCCAGAAGGCTCCCGCAGAGTTGGCCGTCCGAGAACCAAGTGGACTGATTCAATCGACCATTTTCCCAGGATCGTTTCAACGCCAGCTTTGAGCGTGAATTGCACAATGCGCGCGGCAGGTTTTCTCTGATTAATTTCGGGCTGAGTATTTGTCATACGTGCACACACCCGTGTAGCAATGCTCTTGAGGTTTGAGGGGTGTGTTGAAGATCCGACTGGGTGTTTACCAGATGTTCTTTCTCCGTGCATGCATGAGTCGCGCCTTTTTTCCTGCAAGCGGGACGAGACGTCTGAGGGCGCTCGATCGGACGTATTGTGTTTTCTGGTTCACGCCGAGGTTGATCCTCGAATCTCGATGCTCGAGGTTCGAGGCTTTCTGCGTCTCGACGGCCATCCCCTCCCCCCCCCCACCTCCCACCTTCCCCCACGTCCTCCCAGCTAGTCGCACATCATCCACATCATCCCACCCCCATCCACCCCACACCTCCTCACACGTCCTCCCAGCTCCTCGGTCACCTCCTCCAAACTCGTCCCATCTTCCCCTACCTCCTTCGCACGTCCCCCGAGTCCTCCCACCTCTCCCCACTTCCCCCCCTCACCTCCCACGTCCACCCACGTCCTCCCGAGCCCCACCTCTCACGTCCCCCCGTGTCCTCCCACGTCCACCCGCGAGGAGGGAAGAAAATCGCATTCAATTATCAGCATTTCCTTTTTGCGTGGTATTTAGTTGTCCGCAGCAGATCCTCACCGACGTGCTCTTTCTACCCACCCTGTGCACGCAGGCACCGTGGTGTACACCAGCGCTGTGTTGCACGCGGATGCTATGGTGTACACAGGCGCTGTGGCGTGCTCAGGCGCTGCGGAGCTCGCCAGCACTGGTGTACACGTGCGGTGTGTTGCAGACGGTTGCTGCGGTGTACACATTCGCTGTGGTGCACCCGAACACTGTGGTGTACACTGGCGCTGCGTTGCACGCGGCTGCTGCAGTGTACACAGACGCTGTGGTGTACGTACACGCGCTGTGGCACACGTGAGCTCTGGTGTACACAGGCGCTGTGGTGCAGATCGCCACCTACCTGCTGCTCCTATTTGGCCTCGGTCATTCCTGAGCATTCTCCAGCGCCGCTGGCGCGGAACGCAACGTCACTTGGGGGGTGGCGGGGCCGGTGACTGCCGCTATCGCAGAACATAAAAAAAGCAGGCGCTTGCTTGCTCGGAAATCCCCTGTTGCCCGCTATTGTCTGCTCCGATCCGTTTCAAAGGAACTGCTGTTAAACATCATTCGGGTGTCGCCACAGGACTTTTCATAGTTTCGCAACGATCCCCAGCCTCCCCCCAAGTCCACACAAACTACGCCCAGCTTTACCACGTGGCGGGCCCGCTGAGAAGGATGGAGCCGGAGGAAGAGGGAGAGCGAGATGGGGAATGTGTCCCCGACGCCCAACGTCATGGAAAAGTTGCGGCGATGTCAGAAACCGCGACCAGAGCTCCCAAACCTAAGTTCCGCGAGGGCCTCTGGTGCTTGAGGACAATGCCAGATCGCCCGTGGTGTGTTTTTGAGGTCGCTCGTCGTGTGTTCTCCTGTGGTTTGTTCGCGGCGCGTCAGTTGAGCCGGCCCTGACCACTGACGGCTCGCTTCGCGCACGGGGGCAAGGCTCGCGCGCATGCGTGCGAGCCCTGGCCCGCAACGCCAGCGGCCGAGGACCTGGACCCGTGGACGAGGCGAGGACGGAGATAGAGGGCGCCATGGACAGGGCGGCCGAGAGCCCGGAAGGCGCGCCCCGGGGAGAGGATGCCCTGTTGCCGCCAGCCCTGCGGAGCAGTTCTTCGCCGGCGAGGCCAGCACGAGCACCGCGAAGAGTGCGAGGAAGGCCTGAAAGGTTTGCGGCATCAGTGCCAGTGTCGAGGGAGGAGAGAACACCCAGGCCCGATAATCGTCGTTTGCGGAACGGCCTTGGGCATCTCCTAAGCAGCCTTGCCCTGTTCGATCCCGTCTTTGGGTGCGTCGGCTTCGCGTGTCGGGGTGATTGTTGTGAGGGTGGATTTTCTGCTTTTCTGGAGGGGGCGATGGGGAGGAGGAGGAGGAGGAGGAGGAGGAGGAGGAGGAGGAGGAGGAGGAGGAGGGAGGAGAGGAGGAGGAGGAGGGCGAGGAGGAGGAGGAGGAGGGGGAGGAGGAGGAGAAGGAGGAGGAGGAGGAGGAGGAGGAGCGCCGAGAAGGAGGAGGAGGAGGAGGAGGAGGAGGGCGCCGAGAATCGGGATTGCGCGCCAGGGTGGCCCGAGGCCTCCAGCCCCGGCCCCTGGCGCTGTGGAGAGCCACGCTGGGAGGCTTCTGGCCACCGCCGGCCTGCGGGGGCCCCTCGCCAGGCCCCGGGGCTGGACCTAAACGCTGACTTGCTGGACTTCGGCTGTGCTCTGTTCCCAGAAGCGGCGTGGGCCCAGGGTTCTCTTTTAGCTGTTCCCCCCCGGACCCGACGGGAAGAGGGTCGGCGGAATTATCTGCGATAGATAACAAGGTAAGGTCCCATTCGGCGTGGAAGAATGGAGGATGTCCTTAGCGAAATGCGTGTTTTTCAAATGTTGGTGAGGATGTCTCAAGCGAAACGCTGGTTTTGCAGAGTTGGGGAATGTCTCAAGCGGGGGCCTCGTGGGAGGCCACAGTTCAGAGGATGTCTCAAGCGAAATGCTTGTTTTCACGTGCCCAGGTCGGCCAGGGGGGTATCCAACATGGTTGTCCGTCGCTGGCGCCCCAGACGACCGCATGTTGGAGATCACCCCTGGGTGGGCTGGAAGCGTGAGTTTTTACGTGTGCAGGCCATCAGGGGGGTATCTAACATGGTGGTCCCGAGCTGGAATCACATGCTTTCACGTGTCCAGGCCACCCGGGGAAGTATCTAACATGGTGGTTCCAAGCTGGAGCCATGTGTGTTTTACATGTTCAGGCCATCCAGGAGGGGTATCTAACACGGTGGTCCTGCGCTGGAACCGCGTGTTGTCAAGTGTCCGGGCCACCCGGGGAGGTGTCTAACATGGTGGTCCTATGCTGTCACCTCATGTTTTTACGTGTCCAGGCCACCAAGGGGGGTATCTAATATGACTGTCCCGAACTGGAGCCACGTGTTTTTACGTGTCCAGGCCGCCCAGGGGGGATATCCAACATGGCGTCGCGCCCAACGCCGAATTATCGGGAATCGCAGGGGGGGCCGAAAAGCGTTACCCGAACACATACTCCAATGCAGAAAAGTTATGTCTTCTTGCTCTGGGCAGTGGGTGGCGCTTTGGGGGCCTCTCCTGGGAGGACATTGCGGCGTGTGGAGCGGGGTCGCGAATTCAGCGTATCCAGGCCACGCAGGGGGGTATCCAACATGGCTGTCCCGAGCTGGAACCAAGTGTTTTTACGTGTCCAGGCCACCCAGCGAGGTATCTGACATGATTGCCCCGAGCAAGGACCACGTGTTTTAAAGTGTCCAGGCCACTCAGGGGTGTATCTAACATGATTGTTCCGAGCTGGCACCACGTGTTTTTACATGTCCTGGCCACCCAGGCGGGCATCTAACATGGTTGCCCCGAGCAAGGACCATGTGTTTTAACGTGTCCAGGCCACCCACGGTTGTATCTGACATGGTTGCCCAGAGCTGGCACCCTTTTGTTACGTGTCCAGGCCACCCAGGGGGGTATCTAACATTTTTGTCCCGAGCTGGCACCACGCGCTTTAACGTGTCCAGGCCATCCAGGGGTGTATCTAACCTGGTTGCCCAGAGCTGGTACCACGTGTTTTTAGATTGCACACGCAGCGCTGTGACGCTATTTGAAATGCGCCCCACTTGCCCCATTTGCCCCACTTGCTCCACTTGCCCAAGTGGGGCAAGCGGGGCAAGTGGGGCAGGTGGGCCGGAGCAAGTGGGCCTCCTCGTTTCCGCAACGGCGGGCGGGCGGGCGGTGCAAGTGGGGCAATAAGGGTGCGTTCCAGATAGAAGCCAGCCAGATAGCAGGCAAGAGGGCCCCAAGAGGATACCCAAGAGGCCCGAAGAGGAGGCCCCAAGATGACCCCCAAGAGGGCCCCACGAGGACCACAAAGAGGGCCCCAAGAGGACCCCCAAGAGGCCCCAAGAGGACCTACAAGAGGGCCCGAAGAGGACCCCCAAGAGGCCCGACGAGGACCCCACGAGGCCCCAAGATGACCCCCAAGAGGGAGGGCCCCAAGAGGACCACAAAGAGGGCCCCAAGAGGACCACCAAGATGCCCCAAGAGGACCCCCAAGAGAGCCCCAAGAGGACCCCCAATAGGGCCCTGGGAGCTTCCTGGGGGCCTTTTGGAGGCCTCTTGGGGGTATCCTTGGGCCTCTTGGGGGCCTTTGGGGGCCTCCTGGGGGCCTCTTTGGCAGACTCAGGGCGTTCCTGGCCCGTCGGAAGCCATCTTGGGGGCCCCTCTGGGCCGTCTTGGGGCCCTCTTGGAACGCTTCAGGGCCGCCTTGGAATCCATCTTGGTCGTCGTGGAGGCTTCTTGGTCTTGATCCAAGAGGTTCCCAAGAGGCCTTCAGGAGGCACGACTATGTCACGCGCCTGTGCTTGATAGCGCTGTCCAAGATCTTCCAGCGCCCCCCTGGCCTGGGCTAGAACCTGAGCGCGCGTGAAGCGCGCGCGATGGTTCCATAGAAATCGATGTGTAAACCGCCCACAATAGGAATGCTATTGAAAAGCCGCATAGCAGATTCTATGTGTGATTCACACACTAGCAATCAATGTGTAAATCGCCCACGAAAGGATTTCCTTTGAAAGGGAGCCAGAACAAATTTTGGATCTGTGGAACAGGTAAGAAAAACAACTACAATCCGTCGCCCCTCTCTGAACTCCTTGTGGGGCACGATCCGCGTGAAGGGCCGCGCGAACACGCCCACTGAGGCCGCAGGTGGACCTCCTCCGGGCACGCCCCGTGCCAGGCATGTTCCGAAATGGGCCTGATTCGCGTGACAGTTGTGCCGACATCGACGGGGGGGGCGTTGTACGAATCTTCCGGGCCTTGAGGTGGTATTCCTTGCGGGCACGAGGCACGTGATGGGGTTTGCCGCAATGGCTTGGGGGGGGGCGCAGTGCGAACCTTGCCTCTGGGGCCGTGGGTGGAGATCCCTGTGGGTCACGATCACGATCCGTGTGCGAGGTGTGCCGAAGTAAGCGGGATGGCGGGATGCGAACCTTGTCTTTGGGGCCGTCCGTGGATGTCGTTGCGGGCCACGATCCGTGTGAGAGGTGTGCCGAAGTGAGCGGGGCGATGTTATTAAGCCTCCCTCTGGTGCCGCAAATGCATTTAATTGCGGGGCACGGCCCGAGTGAGGGGCGTACCATTGTGCGAACCTCGTCTCTGGGGATGTAATTTAGTGGACCTCCCTGTGGGACGCGATGCCTGTGACGGGTGTGCAAGCATGGGCGGGGGGACCCTCAGCCGAGCCTGTCAGAGGGGCCGCAGGTGGAGCTCCCTGAGGGGCACGATCCTTGTGACAATATATGTTCTCCGATGCCGAACACTTCAGACTACAACTGGAGCTTGCTGGAACCTGAGCGCGCGCGAAGCGCGCGCGTGGTTCTAGTGTATTTTCTATATTTATATATACATATACATATACATATACATATACATATACATATATATATATGTTTGTGTGTATGTGTGTGCGTGCTAGCCAGCGTGGACCCCGACCAGTGTGCTTCTAGCAATACATGTGGTGTTATCTGTGTGATGTACAATATGCGGAGCGACGTATGTGGTGCAATCGATGTGGTGCAAATTAGGTTGTGCATCCGATGTTGTGCAACATGCGATGTTCAATCTACGTTGTGCAATATATGTTGTGCAATACTCGTGGTACAATATACGTGATACAGTCTATGCGGCGCTGTATGTGTGGTACAGTCTGTGTGGTGCAAGGTATCCCGCGCAACACATGCAATCGAGGCTGGGGTACAAAAAACAAGTGTGCAGTCAAACGCCGTGCAGTCGACGTTGTACAAGCTATGTTGCACAAACTATAGGGAGCAGTGTGGGTCGTGCAGTCTATGATGAACAAGATCGGTGGTGCAACATATGTGGTACAAGCTGCGTGGTGCGTAATATGTGTACACGTATATGTATAGACTTACTGTGCATTCTATGCGGTGAGCAATCTGTGCGGGCGGCGACGGGGCGCTTCACCGCGGCAACATAGCCGCCAGACCAGCAGACGGGCCCAGACGACGAGGCGGCGACGATGCGGCAGCGAAGCGACGACGGCGACCACATCGCCGCCAGACCGCCGCACCGGCCACGACGGGGCGGCGACGGGGCGGCGACGGCAGTCACATGGCGACTGTGCGTAAGAGTGGCCTTTCGCCAGAGTGACCTCTGATGCGGGCCCAAAGGGGGTCCCCCGATCGCCGAGCGCGATGCGGTAGTAGCGTCTTGCACGCCTGCGCTTGGTCCCCCAGCGGCCCCCCAAAAGCTGCGCACCAAAGGTCACTCTTACCCACGGTCACTCCTGCGTGGAGCCGAACATAGCCGTCTGAACGGCGCACAGGCCCCGACGACGGGCGGCGACGAGGCGTCGACAGGGCGGCGACGGCGGCCACGCAGCCGCCAGAACGGCACACCGGCCCAGTTCGTTAGAAAGCAGTGGAGAACCCTTAAGTGCAAGCACTGTCTGGGCAAGATCAACACACACACACACACACACACACACACACACACACTTTTTTTTGCGTTGGCAGCTAGGGAGGGGACGTCTGCGCTGGCGATGGGATGCCTAAA